ACTCCCGCCCGATAAACGTCGGACTACAACACCCAACAGCCCCGCTGGCAGCACCACCCCTTAGCTCAGCTGGACTACAACTCCCAGAAAGCTCCGCGCGCGGCTGACTTGTAGAGCCTGTCTTCCCCTAGGCTGCATTCTGACCGCTGGGTGGCGTCCGCAGCTTGCGGTAATCCTGTATCATTCACACACTTACCCCATCTCTCCTCCCTCTCAGCCCCCACGCAGATATGCTCCGCAAATTCCTCTCTCGCCAGGGTTGGTTTCGGAAAGTCCCTCTTTCGCACTAGCTTCTTATGCTGTTGCTGCAATTCAAAGCTAAAAGTTCCCAGGATGTTTCAAATAACTACGCAGATCTGGCTTCTTCATTACAAAAATATTTAATGACCACCTACTATGTGCCAAGCATTTTGCCAATGGTTTTCTCTTCAAACTACCATCTGTCCCCAAACCCCAAACGCAGCCAGCGCCTGCATCCTACCACCTGTGACTTCGTGGTGGAACATCCAGTGTGTCAGATAAAGTTCAGGTCACTTGCTCCCCACTCCCTCCCCTAGAACAACTACATTGCCTGGCTTCCAGAAAAGAAAGATCACCAGCGTTGGCCTCGGCTGCAGCCAGTCCTGGGTTTTAATCCCAGTTTTGCCATTTTAGGCAAGTTGCTGGATCTCTCTCAGTTGTTGTGAAGACTGGTGAGCCGTGTATGCAGAGCACTTGGGCACAAAGTAAATATGTATTCCCTTTCTTCCAGCCACTTTAAAAACACAGCCGGACAAACAAGCCCCAGAAACACCAAGGGAATGTGCTGACCACACCCTCACCCATCACCAGGGGGAAATCCTACAGTCCCTGACCAGAGCTCTTTGGTTTAAATGCCCACCAACCAACCTTCCCTGGCTGGTCAATTCTGAGAGGCAGGGCTGGAAGTCACTGAGCACCCTCCCCTCACGTAGCCCTGGTAGCCTGACTCTGCAGTAGCTGCATTCTAGCCCCTAGCCTTCACCATGACAACCAGCCTGCCTAGACATGAGCCAGCCAGGCTGGGGAAGACTGGGGGGCCCAGGCTGATCAGTGCCTAAGATTCCCCAGGTCTTTCCCTCAGGGTGCAGGACAAATCATTATTATACCCTTCTCCCTGTGGCACAGACATTCTGGGGCCTCCCTAGAGGCAGTGCCCCTTGATTCTCCCTCCAGTGTCAGTGTCCCAAGGAAGGGGATTAATGGCTGAGGGTTCTGGGAAGGAACATGAGTGGTGGGGGTGGGGGAAAGCAGGGGTCTGCTAGCCACCCAAAGGCCAGCATAGCCAGAGAAGAGCCTCCTGCATTCCCAGGAGAGAGGACAGCTGAGGTGAAAGCTGCAGTTGGCTGGCCTGTCTGTCCGTCTGGGCTCCTCCCTGCTGGCTGCCTTTGGCTGCCCACAGAAACCTGAGTCACAGTCACCGCCTGCTGCCTGACCCCACCCAGCCTGCTGTCAGGCAGGGAGATTCTGGAGACTGGAGGTGGAGCCTCTCCTTGCCTGTCTTCCAACCTCTGAGATTCTCTCTCTGCCTGTGATTCCTCCTCTTGGCATCTTTTTCTTTGGGACTCCTCCTCAAAGCATCATCAGCCCTAACTTAAGAGTTGGGGGGAGGGGTGTCCATCTTAGGCTGAACTAGTCTCCTCCTGGCTCAGATGGGAATTTAAAAGCTCCTTAGACAGCTGCTCCAAGGGCTGTCAGTACAGCTCCCATCATCCCCAAATCCCAATTTCTCTCCACCTAGGACATTTAGGAACATTAGGCACCCCCTCCCTACCCATATCTCCTTCTCCCTAGACAAGAACATAGCAAGGACAGCCTCCCTTCCCCCAGCAGAGGCTCTAGACAAGGACCTCTTCCTAGGAACCCAACGGATTGGCTCTATTTAGTCCTGGATCTGAGTTCCTCCCGCTCCAATCCCTCTCTGTTCCTCTGCTCCCCAAGAGCTGGAGGGAGGGAGGCCTTATTGTAGCTGGTGTTGCCAAAGCCCTTGAGGATATTTCCTACCCCAGGTCCCAGGGAGTGGGACCTGGAAGCTACTGCTCCCCAGGAAAGCAGTCTGAGTTAGAGACCCCTTCCTTCTGCAGTGCCTTGGGGTTGGGGTAGAAGTGAGACTCTACTGTCAGTTATTCTCTGCTGCCCCCACCATGCGGCCCCTCCCACTTCCTACTTTGTGGGTGTGAAGGCAGCCTCCAGGGCTCTGGTCCTGATTCATATCTCTGTATCAATCTCCCAGTGATTTCCTTCACCCCTCCATTAGGTTCATCCTGGACCCTGCTTCACCAAACCTAGGAGGTTGTAAATGCTCTTATTCTTGCCCTCCCCCTAAAAGGATCTCGAGAAGGGGACATATTTCTGATCCCCATTCAGTTCCTCCCCTCAACCAGCCTGTGATGAGACTAACGGCTCATTCAAGTCTGTTTCTGTAAAGGGGGAGGAGATTGCTCTGGGTCGTAGGGGAAGGCACTGGGGAGTTCCCTGCCTCTCACCTAAGAGGTCAGTGCATCCTGTCGGAGCTTCAGCCCTGGATGTTGCAAACACCCTGCTTGTTCCTTCTTTGGAACGTTTAATATTGGGGGGGTGGGGAGGAGAGGGCATGTGGGATCCCCAGGCACTGTCACTCAGGCCCAAACTCAGGGAGAGACACCCATTCTAAACCCTCTCAGTGGCCGAGGCCTGGGATCTGCCAGGGATCCTGGTCAGTTAGGGGGGAAAATAGAGAGAAGCCCACTCCATCTGTCACCTGTGACTTTGGCAGTCACAGGACACTGGTGGTCTCCAGACCCCATCTTCCCAGGACTGGCTGTAGATCCATCAGCATGTAGGAAGCCTTCTGAAGCTGGTGAGAAGAAAACTATCTTTCAAGTTGCCTAACTCCCACATGTCCTGCTGGTCCCCACCATTAGCATCTTGTGAAGGGGTACAGGTGCCTCCACCCTCAATCTAGGGAAGGGTTCCTCAATCTTGGCACCATTGATACTTTGAAGCCTGATGATTTTTTGTTCTAGGGAAAGTCCTGTGCATTGCAGGATGTTAAACAGCATCCCATAGGGTCTAAGCACTGGATGCCAGTAACACCCCCCAGTTGTGACAACCAAAAGTGCCTCTAAACATTGCTAAATGTCCCTTAAGGGGCAAAATTGCCTCTGGTTTTGAACCACTGTCAGAGGCTAATACCACACACTGTCTCTTTGCAATGAGCTCCCCATAGTCAATCTCAGATCATTAGACACAACAGAGGCAGTTCTAAAGCACTGCTCACCCTTCCCCTTATGAAGAACCTTCAATAGCTCCCCACGACCTACATCATGAGGTCAGTTGTATTCAGATGCAACCCTGGCCTATCTTTTCATTTTTAGCTACCATTTCCCCTTTCACTATTCTTAGGCTCTAGCCAATGAGGGTATCTGACTATTCTCACCTATAGGTCTTTGTCTCTGCAGTCACCTCAAGATCTGGGGTGGGGTTAGGGATAGAGAGCATCCCAGAGAGCTCTCCCCCTGTTGGATTCTGTTCATGAATTCTCCTGTGTCTACTCACTGTCTGGCTCAAGGTGGGCCTGCAGGTCCTGAGGCATCTGACCTCACAAAGGACAATCCCAAACCTCATCATCCACATGGTCCCCACTCTCATCCTGCAGATGGGATGGCTGACAACAAAAGTGGGGGAATCTGCTCCTCAGAGCAGATCCTAATCTGCTTTTACCTTTGAAGCCCCATCATCATCATCATGCCTGTTTATTCATCATTTCCTATATGCCAGGCTCTATGCTAAGCATTCCATCTGTATTAGCATATTTAACCTTTTCAATGACCCCATGATACCTCATCGTACCATTATTTTCATGACTATAGGTGAGCAGACTGGGTTTCAGAAAAGTTAAGACACTAGCTTAAGGTTACCAGCTCCACTTGCAGGCCTTCTATCATCCTCTTCTAATGATTTTGGGCTGGAGGGGGGAATTTTTCCCTCCCCAACTCATCCCCAGAGGGTTCAGGCCCCCAACTACTTACTCCTCCCAGGACAGGCTGCTCTCAGGTTGCTTGAGACCCAGACCCCTTTGTTCCTCACACTCCTTGAAATGGCTGCTCTCTGGAGCTGCTCAAGGAAGGAGCCGCTGGCGGGAAAGGGGGGGCAGAAGTACAGCATCTTGCTGGGCCTAATCTCTGGACAATGGAGAACTGGAGAACTGACCTTCTGGAGGTCAGGACAAAGGGCAGGGCTGGGGTGGGCAGGCCCAGCTGTGCGCCTCCTTCCTCCTGTCAACCTCTGCAGCACCACCATTGATCTACCTTCCCAGCAGGCTCCCCAGCTCTGCCCAGGCTGCGCCCTGCCTTGGCTGGAGGCCCCACCTCAGCTGGCACTAACAGGGGACACTGGGGGAGGGGTGTCAGAAGGGGCTCAGTCCCTTCTTCAATAGGCCACAGAGGAGAAAATCCTTCCGAGGAGACTGAAGGGGTCCTCTGATGGGGGTGGGGAGGTTCAGGGCCAGGACCACCCAGTTTGGAGCCAGGAGGGACCCAACAGATTAGAGACCTGGGTAAAGCAGCTTGGCAGGCCTGTAATTACCCCGCAGAAGAGCAGGGAAGACACCAACCATAGGATACTGGAGGAAGGGCTGCAGCGAGGCTCCCGGGCCTCTTCCAATCCCAACCATGACCAGGAGAGAAAGTCTAGTCTTTTTAGGGGTCTCCTTGTGACCCTCCTTCAGCTTTCCCAACGTCCTCTGTGGGATTTTATTTGAGGTGTGTTTGAGAGACAATTTAGTCTTGAAGCTGCAGCCAAGGTTTCAGAGCCAGAGCTCCCAGGCTCCAGGGTGGGATGGGGGCTCCCAGCCCCGCACCCCCCACTCTCCCTAGTCCTAGCGGCGGGTGAGTCACCAGAGCGCTCCCTACATAGCCCTTCGCGCGGCGGCGCGTACCAACGCGCGGCCGCAGGGGGACGCAGCTCGACGGCGGGGTCCTCCTAGGGCTGTAGTCGCCCCTCAGCCGTGCCCGCAGGAAAAGCTCCGGGGTCTCGAGGCCCGGTGCTCCAGGGCGGGTGAGGGGCGGGCGGGGGCCGGCGGGGCGGGCGCGCAGTGGCTGGGTCTCCGGACGCTGCGGGGGCGGCCCTCCCTGCGTCCCACTTGGTACGCGCCAGTACATAGGCCAGGCCCAGCCCGGGCGGTACAATAGGGTTGGGCCGAGGCTGGGACTGGGCCGGCGCCGGGAAGGGAGGAGGATCGCGGTCGGATCCGACAGGCCCTGGGCGGCCGGCGACTCTGAGCCTCTCAGGCCACCAGCCGAACCAGCCTCTGCCTTCCCTAGAGCTCCCCCGCCTCCGAGTCGTTGCCCGCTGGGCCGGGCCAGGCGTGATGCGCCGCGGGATCCCTGGCCTGGCCGCCGGCCGCCGCCGCCGCCGCCGCTGAGACCCCAAGATCCCCCTGTGACGCCGCAGCCATGGAGAGCGGCCCACATGCCGAGCCGGGTGCTGGCGCACCCCCAGGTATGCCGGGAACCATGCAGAGGTGAAATGGGGAGGGGGGGGTCAAGGGGACTCCAGGAGGCCGAGGATGAAACTGGCACACTGGGCGGGGACCCTCCCCCGCCGCGCCCTCTGACCACTTGAAGTTTAAAAATAAAGGCTGCTGCGGCGGTGGCGGCTTGGGGCCACCGACGCATCTTCTGACAGCTGCCCCTTCCCCCAACCTGGGCGCTGGGGCGCACTGGGTGGCGGGATCCGCGAGAACCCCGCTCCGGAGTTGTCGGGTGACCCTTCCGCCCCAGCCCAGTGCCACCTCGACTTCCCCGCCCCCACCCCCCTTCCCATCCACCCAGGCCCTGAAGATCCTCTTCTGAGCCAGGGAGTCTGTCCTCCTTCCTATCCCCGGTGGCCACGTGTGACACCAGCCTGAATGTGTGTTGGGGGTCCAGACTCTCAGGCCTGGAGCCCTGCATGTCGAAGCCTAGGCCCTGGCGCCCCCCACGCCCAGGCCGGGGCTCAGACCTCTCCCCCACCCCATCCTTCCAGCTGCCGCGCAAAGGGCCTGTTGCTTGCTGTGGGCCGGCTAGGACGGGAGGGGAGGGGAGGAGAGGGGGAGGTCTTTTGCCGCGGCTGCCAAGTAACCCGGCGTATAAAGGCGAGGGGGAGGGGGAGGCGGCATTGTTTGGGGCGAGGGCGGGAGCTGGGGAGTGGGCCGCTTCCCCTGCAGCCAGGCCTACTCCCGAGCCCACCCAGCCCGATTTGGGGAGGAAGGGGACAGAAGTAAATCCGCTTACCCCGCCCGCCCTCCTTTCCAGCCTCTCTTGGTCTGAGTCTTCCCCTGGAGAATGAAGTGAAGGCCCAAGGCCGGCACTCGGGGGACCTGCCACATCATTCCTCAGCCTGAGGCTTTGGATGTCTACCCCCTTTCTTTCTCTCTCTCTCTCACTCACTCTCTCACTCCTCTTCCCACCCCCCACCCCCCACCCCAGACCATCAGAGTTCTCCCTCCCCTCACCCCACCCCACCAACCACCAGCGCCCAGGACTTCTGCAAATCCCATTCGGATCTGGGAGCAGCTGACGAGGGGGTGGGGACAGACTTCTGGTTGGGCCTGGTGTCGGAAGGAGGGATTTCTCTCTCTTTTTTTTAATTCCTGGAAGGGGAGGGAAGAAGGTGATTGCTGAGGACCCAAATTCTGTTCCCACTGACTCAGGGGGGAGGTGGCCCCATCCCCACACCTCCATAGAGTCCTAGAACCTAATCCCCGTCACCTCCCTGGCCCCTGGGGCGTGGGCCCAGGATGAAACAGTGTCTGTGGGTGCGGAGAGTCCAGGACAAGGTGGAGCCACTTGGCTGTGGGTGGGCTCCTCCCCATGCCAGTGTGGGTGCTCCGAGGGGACGGTGTGGGTGTGGGAGCTGGAGGACTTAGAGGGGAGGCTATTAGATTGGTGTGGTTTGGGAGGTTGGTAGGCTGTGCTGGAACAAGGGCACTTGGGTCTGTCTTGGCTCTGTTAAGCCTGAGGGAACACTCAGGGAGGCCAAACCTGGGTCTATTCCATCTAGTTACTGGCGCTTTGCACCTGATGGTCCCCTGCACTGGTGTGTACAGGACCTGGATGAGGGTGGTGACTGGGCCGCAGATGATGGCCTGAGAGGCTGGCTACTTTATAATTAGGGCACCTGAGTGGGATGCCTGGACTGAGTATGAGGCATGGGTGGGATGCTTGGCTATATTGGGGAGCCTGCATACAGGGTCCTAGTTAGGAAGACTGTTCTATATGCAGGGATTTAGATGAAGTTGCATGAGAACCTGGATCGTAATGATGCCTGGTCCTTATACAGAAATCCAAGGTGACAGAGGTCCCCGCTGAGCCAAGGGCTTCCTAGGAGTAAAGACCCTGCCCATTGCTTGTACCCTGTGAGAATTTGAGGCATAGCTCTGAGACTGAGTCCCCGTGACATGATCCCTGCCCTCTTTGAATTCCTTTTGCACACTGAGCATTAACAAAAGGCAGCATGGAGTAGGGGACAAGTGTGGTACCTGCCTTTGGGTCAGAAAACCAGGATGGAAATCCTAGTAAGCCATTTGCTGGCTATTGGACTTACCTCCTCCAGACACAATTTATGCCCCTGAAAAATGGAGGCAGTGTTATCGATCTTGGTGTTTAATGTGAGGGTTGGAGATGAGGTACCTAAAGGATCCTGACAGACACCCTCAGCACAGTGTTATTACCAGATTATGGCTATGATCATCGGAACTGGTGCCAGCAGGGAGATACCAAATACATCTCGGGGAGGCGAGGGCAGGAATTGGGAGTCAGTTTTCCTAAGCGTGTAGACTTTGGAATCAAAGAGTTTAAATCTCCGTTTCATAACTTATTACTGTGTGACCTCAGGTAAGTTGCTTAAGCCAAGTCTTAAGTTTTCCCATCTATAAAATGAGAATAATGCTAGAAGTTATCTTATAGAGACATTGGGATCATTAAATTAGATGAACACATAAAACACTGAGACTAGACCTTGGCATGTAGTTAGTGTTCAATATAGTGTTCAATAAACACTAGCTATTTGTTTTTTGTCATTATTTTTTTTTCTTTGTTTTAAGTGTTTTATTTATTTTATTTTCATGTTGTTGTTTCTTATTTTATTTGTCATTATTAGTTTTAATTCCTTCAGAGGCCTGAGGAGGAGGTGTGATTAATTGGGAGGTAAAGGTGGGACAGAGCAAGGAGAATGGGAGTTCTAGACAGATATAAGCCAGGGTGTAATGGGCGGTGGGAGTAGGAGAGAGACACAGGAGATGGGTATAGCCAGCCATCCAGTACACTCATGCTGATGCTCGCCCTGTGCCAGCTTGGTGTTGGTTGTGCAGACGGCAGAGAAGTGAATCAGACAGAGTCCCTACCTACCCTGGGGGAGCTGCTGGCCCAGTGGGGGAGGTGGATATGTTCACTGCTGTGAAACCCAGGTATAATGGTGACAGAATGAACAGAGGGTTCTGCTTGGGGTAGGCTTCACAGAGGAGGAGGCATTTGAGGTGGACCTGAAAGGATGAGTAGAAGTTGGTGAGGCTGGCACAATGGTCCCCGGCAGCCTGGCTGGCACCTCCCACTGACAGCTTCCTCCCTCCTTAGGCTGGTGGGCCCAGTAGTGAGGCCTCTAATGAGCCCCTAATGTGTAGTCATGCATATGCAAAAAAGGAGGAAGGGGCACTAAGCCAGTTCACCTCTCCCCACCTCCCTTCCCCTCAGGAGGGGCATCAGCTGTTGGTGGACAGGGCTGAGGGAGGGGGAAAGGAGCTGAAAGCAGGGCCCAGACTAGAAGTGGTGACACTTAGGGGAGGTCAGGGCAGGTCTCAGGTTTGATCTAGGCTGGAAGTTAGGCTGCAAGCAGCTGGGAGCCATGTCCTTGGGCCAGTGAGGGAGCCAAGGAGCCAGGCCCAGATAATGCAGCTTTGTTGGCAGTGGCAGCTCTGCCTGGCACCCTGGGGCACAGCCTTCAGTGTCTCCTCCATCACCTCTCAGCTGCAGCTCTGTCCTGAGGGGAGCAGAGAGCGTGGTAGGGGGTAGAGGGCATGGTGTCACTGCCGCCATCGGCACTCCTCACCACTTGTAAGAACAGATGTGGGCCAGGAATAGACTCCTTGGTAAACCAACTTATTTCCCACTCCTGTTTATTAAGGGCCTTCTCTGTGCCAGGCACAATGCTCAGCGTGCACATGCATTGTCTCATTTGCTCCTCGAAACAATAGCTTAAGTAGGGACTAGTATTGTCCCCATTTTACAGGTGAGGCTCAGAGAAGCAAAGTCACTTGCCTAAAGTCACACAGCTAGGAACTGGCAGGAGCAGGATTTGAACCTAGGTCCATCTGACTCCAAAGCCTGTGCACCAAATTTCTATGCTGAATTATCACGACTAAGCCAGCTGGTGACAGAGCCTGGCCTGCTTCCCTTGCATAATTGGTCTTCCGTGGGCATCTTGGTCTTGAGCATCCCATGATTTGTTTTCTCAGGCTGGCTCTGAGCAAGTCAGACCAGAAGGAGGCCCTGGAGCCAGGCAGTGGTGACAATGCAGCTCAAGGGCCATCCTCAGGCCTTGGCCAGAGGCTGGGCCTCTGCTCTCAGCACGTATGCCACAGCATGGACAGCTCTGTGGGGACTGAGGGAGGGCTGTGGCGGGCCTAGGCTGCGGGATGGGGTCATTTCCTGCCGCCTAAAATAACAGGAAGTGGGTGCTCCTGATTGGAGGCTGGGAACAATGGCCGCCAGCCGGCCAGAGAGCTCCTTCAGATCTGCAGTCTCAGTTGGATTCCTGGTTTTATCACTCACAGAGGCCCTAGTGCCCTGCTGTCAAGAGCCAGTGGCCTAGGTTCTGAGGACTGCTGAAGCAGGCTGCCCCTCTCCTAGTTCACGCTCTCTCACAGCTGGCTCAGCTAGGAGTAATGCCGCCCCCTAAGGGCTCCCTCTGCCCCAGCCCCACAATCAGGCAGCCTCCAGGGTTTGTCCTCCCTGCCTACCCCCTCCCCCATCTCCCCAGGAGAGGAAACCCAGGAGGCTGCCCCCTTTGGGGACCAGAGTGAAGGTACAAACTGTCAAATTGATTTCTTGTCCAAACCCCAGCTTTGCTACTCACCAGCTGTGTGACTTAAGCAAGCATCTTAACCTCTCTGAATGTATTTCCTCATTTGTAAAATGAGGCAATCATCTCTACCTCATAGGATTGTGGTGAAGATAAAATGGACTGATGCATTTCAAGTGTTTAGTTGTGACTGACATGACATTAGCTGTTGCTGCTGTTAACTGGACTTTCCCTGGGCCCAGGCAGAGGAGTACCCAGAGGGCAAGGCAAAAGTGACCTGGATGAGACTGTATAAATATACTGAGGACACTGTGTCTCTGAGTGCTGTGTGTGTGTCCGAGGCACGCAGAGGGGATGCCTGGCTCCGTGTGCGTCTGCGTGTCTGTGTCTTTGTCTGTGGATATGTATGTATGTGTGTGTCTGTGTAGAATTCCCAATCCCAG